TAGGGCGGGCACCTCCGCCTTCACTTAGGGCGGGTAAGGCTGCAGATGGGGCCCAGTAGGCCTACCGAGGACACTGATCCTCGCAACACGCCGCAATTTAACCAAGACTAAACTAATCTCCGATCGGATCCTTATAGGATCTTCCTCGGAACAACAACACTAGTTAGCATGGCAAAAAAAACATTGGGTTCATGCAGGAAAAAAAAATAAACTAAAAGGGGCAATGACTCAGTTTGCAAAAAATTAAAACCGCAGTTTGCAGGCTGTGGACCAGGAGACTGACTAACAGGGCTTTATTAGACTGTCGACACAGATTCACTATACGGATTGTTCTGACACAACTGACAGACCCATTTGGACTGATAACCTGGGACTGGACTGACACCAGATCTGACACGACAGACCGGGACAATACAGACAGATAGAAGAGGGACCGCAAACACAGCCTATGCGTAGGCTCAAGACTCACAGTCAACTGCAGGTGGAAGTCAGATGGGACGGTCAAACCGTTGGTGGCCTACTGACGACGCTTAGAGTGACAAACTAACAGATTCACTGACCTCGACGTAGGCAGCAAATTGACAGACCTGACAGACCAGTTCTGACAGACTGACGGACTGATGGCCGACGGACAGGTGGTCGGAACGAATTCGCTCGATCAAGGTCTTCATTGGAGACCGCCGCTGGTCAACTGTGACCGAAGTACAGGAACCTGGCTGACTTATTGTGTGTCAACGTTCAAAGACTCCTAACTGAATCCACGTTGAAGTTCCAATCAATCTTCGCAAACAAATTGCCGACGATTTTCCGCAAATTGATATCCCCTAGAGGGTTTGCAAAACTGGTGCCCGGCCAAGCAGGCAGAGCCTGCCACTTTGAGGGTTGTCGTGCCCTCACGTCGCCGACAGACTAATTGGGGTTGATGTCGTAATTAGTGTCGGCGTCGACTCGACCGGGTGACCTCTTTTTTTTTTTTCTTTTCCTTTCTCGCTAAACGCGCATTAGAAGTGGGCTGTTGTCTTCTTCTCTCTCCTTTTTTTTTTCTTTTCCTTTCTCGCCGACTCGACCGTAATTAGTGTCGGCGCCGACTCGACGTATTCAGTGTATTGATTGATGAGGTGGCGAGGAGGAGGAGGAACCCGAAGTAGAAGTGGGCTGTTGTCTTCTTCTCTCTCCTTTGGTTATTCTCCCTCTCTCCTCCTTCGTCTGTGTATGATTCTCACCTCATTCTATCATTACACATATTACGAATGTTTGTCATTTCATCAGCAGATCGATAATCATAGGGACTGGTAATGTTGACGAGTATCATCACGTCTGGGCTCATTGCAATATAATTGAAATTACTTAATTCTCATTGATATTCTGCTCCCTCCAGCCAATCAATGCACAGTTATTTCCAAAAATTCCAACCACGTTATTAACATGCACGAACCAACTAAGAAGAGAGTTTCAAGAAGTGAGGAGAGAAGGTTAACAACAATCGTATTTTTCATCACCACTTCAGGACACCCTTCACCACTTCAGGATGCTACCTGCCTAAGCAGGTGGTTTTCAGGGTCTTCAAACCTTTCACCACTTCAGGACCATTTACGATTTTCAGACTGCCCAAAACTCTCAATTCACCACTTCAGGATGCAGCCTGCCTAAACAGGTGGTTTTCAAGGTCTTCGGACCTTTCACCACTTCAGGACCATTCATGATTTTCAGACTGCCCAAAACTCTCACTTCAGAATTTTCATTCCTGAATTTTCAGCTACCTGTTAACCGCTTGCGAGATCTCTTCTTCCTCCCAAACTCAAGCTCACAGCTATGGCGCAGGCCTGCACCCAACCTATCAAACCCATCAAGCGCCACCAACCCTCCTGAACCCGACACGCCACTCAACAGTCCAAATTCGATGCCCACTTCAGATGAATTGTCCGCTCAACAGGGCAGGGTAGCTCCCAGGATGAAGAAGAAGAGCACCAGCGCTTGATGAAGAAGGAGATGGCTGCCACTTGGACAAACACTTGCAAGAAGGGTTTCGATGGCGACCCTGCCTATCCCCAACAGCACCAGGTAAGAGGAGGCGCCTATCATTGCTCAGGGCCTGATGCCCAGCGCAGTCACAACACGAGCCAGGAAGCCCTAGCTATGGAGGAAGTGCCCTAGCAGCATGAAGATGATGCCGTATGTGAAATAACACAGCCCCCAAACAGCATGCGACGTCCAGCAGCACTTCGTGGAAACAAATGAGGAGACAGAACCTGTTTTTCCTTGCCCTCGACACTTTTGTAGACTCCTGTTTTCCCTGACTCGACAGCCTACAACCTAGGGACGACAGTCTATAGCCTAGGATGGAATCTAGACCTAAAATTGGCAAAAGGGAGGACAGAAACGACCTACAACTCGAGGGCAGAAAGGGCAAAACAGAATTGGGTTAGTCATTGGTATTCTACCATTCTGCTGCGCTGTCTTGTACTACGTGAGGGAGGTCAGTCCCGGTCAGGTCAGGACTTATATCCAAGTCTTCCACTGCAGTACAAAGCACCATTTTTGTATGTATCAAGATGTACACTGCTTGTTGAGATTCTACTGCACTGCATTGTCCATTCAGTCCTTTTTATCACATTGCGGATCCTTGGCTATGTATGTACATCGCCCAACTGGGCATGCAACAGAGAGAGAGAGAGAGGGACCATTCTAACTAACTGCCCCCTCCCCCTTCCAAAAAAACACGATCACGTGTAGTATGTGCTCCAATCAGTTTCATATCTGATCCATGGTCCATTCAGACCCTGTTTAAGTTTAAAGAAAAACAATGCATGCACGCACGAGCGAGATAGAGAAAGAGAGAGAGACCCCAATCTAACTAGCAACGCATCCTGCTCCCGCCCTCCCCCCCACGATCAAGTGTAGTATATGCTCCGATCAGCTTCATATCTGATCTGTGGTCCATCGAGACCTTCTGAAAAAAAGTAAAATAAAATTGCACGTACGTGCGCACCAGAGAGAGAGAGAGGGAGAGAGAGAGAGACTTTTAACTACGTTCCCCCCCTTCCCTTCCCCCCGCACGATGAAGTGTGGAATCTGCTCCATGGTCCATCGAGATCCTGAAAGCACTAGTACCTCCGAGCCTATTTTCGACAAGTACTGGTCTACCTCCAAACTTTCAGGAGGCCGAGCCCGCCGTTGATAAATCTGATCGGCGATCGTCGTTTCATTTCGACCTCCTGAAAGGTTGGAGGCCGAGTATTTTCGAACCGACATAGTGGTTAAAAAAAAAAAAAAAACCTGACGTGTGGGGTATGCACGAGAGAGAGAGAGAGAGGGAGGGAGAGACCCCAATCTATCCCACCCCCACCCCCAACGATGTAGTATCTGCTCTGATCAGTTTCAAATATGATCTGTGGTCAATCGAGACACTTTTTAAAAGAAGGAAAAAGGAAAGTGGATGCGAGCACATGAGAGAGAGAGAGAGAGAGAGAGAGAGAGAGAGAGAGAGAGAGAGAGAGACCAATCTAATCAGTTGAAAATCTGATCTGTGGTCCGTTGTACATTCCCCCCCCCGCCCCCCTCCAAACACGATCATGTGTTCCGATCAGTTTCATATCTGAGCGGTGGTCCATTGGGACCCCTTTTTATTTATGAAAAAAAAGAAAGGAAAAACCGTACACAAGCACGCGCATGGGCGCACACATGATCATGAGAGAGAGAGACACCCCAACGTACCCAAATACCGCCCCCCCACCAGCACCACCCTAACAAGTGTAGAATCTGTTCCAATAAGTTTCATATCTGATCCGTGGTTCATCGCGGCCCCTTTTTTTAGGGGGGAAAAAACGCACGTGTGAGCGCACAGTCGCCCGCACGCGCGCGCGCGCGAGAGAGAGAGAGGGACTGCATCAAACAACAATGCTCAGGTGAGCCTAAACAAGAAGAGCACGGGCGATCGCCCGTGCGCGCGCGTGAGAGAGAGAGAGAGAGAGAGAGAGAGAGAGAGAGAGAGAGAGAGAGAGAGAGAGAGAGAGAGNGAGAGAGAGAGAGAGAGGACTGCATCAACAACAATGCACAGGTGAGCCTAAACAAGAAAAGCACGGGCGATCGCCCGTGCGCGCGCGTGAGAGAGAGAGAGAGAGAGAGAGAGAGAGAGAGAGAGAGAGAGAGATTGCATCAAAACCAATGCACAGGTGAGCCTGAAAACCACCCCGACCCCGCCCTCACCCACTCCCCAACCAACAAACCCCCCACCCATCCTCATTCTAGCACTATTTCCTCCATTGTATTGCGGGTGAAGCCGCAACAGGTAACCTTGTGTATTTTTATTATTTTTGTCCTGTTTTATTTTTGGTCAAGGTCTGTGTGTGCCAAGTCTGGTGTTCGCTGGTGTCTCGGAGATGACTGTTTTGGCAAGCCCTGCAAATCCTGAAAGACTGGAAAGAGTGAATTTTGCATGAAAACACATTTTGCGTTGGGGTTTTAGGCTCCTTTGATCTTTTTTTCCTTTTGTTTTTTTTTGCGGTTGTTTATTTGGAGTCCGCTCTATGGACTGGTGATAAATCTGGTTTAAAAGGTGTGGGGCGTTTTTTATAACGAAAACTTTTTTGGTTACTTGTGGCAGACCCTGAAAAAAACCTGAAAATTTTGGGCCCTGTTAACTGCTTCTCTTGCTTGGGGGCTCAACCTACCGAGTGGAATAGGCTGGCGGTGCAAGACAAAAAGATCTGGTTTCACGCTGTTGCTGGTCGGTTTTCCTTTTAGGGTGCATGGCTCAAATCAGCGTCAGGAAAAAGAGGCTCCAACGTACTGTGGTTTGATCTTGTGGTGTTGAACTGGCTGTGAACTCATGACCTGGTTTTATTGTTCTTGGTTCCTGCAAATGACCTGGTTGTTATTGTTCTTGGTGCATGCAAATCAGCCAGCGGGCCTTGGGGGTACCCATTTCAGATAGTTCAGATAGTCTTAACCCTGTGGAATTGGGTCTTACGCTGTGTTTTCCATTGTACTATGTCGTACAGGAGCACGTCATTCCCAAGTTGGAATGGGTTATCGACAGAGAGAAGAAGATGACTCATGCCGAATTGATGGAAAGGTGAGTGAATCATCTTTGCCTTTTTTTGGTTTTTGTTTTCTTTTTGGTCTGGGTGTGTTATAGCAAGGCATGCAAGGATCAGACCTCGCACATTATGTCAAATCAGCTGGCTGGTTGGTTGTGTGGAAGGGATGACATTTAAGTTTTAAGCCACCAGGACCTGTCGCCAATCCGAGTTCTTTGGATGAACAGTGCTACCAGACCAGAATGGCTTGCAGCATTAGCCAAGAAAGAAAATCGGTGAGCTGCTGGCAGTCCTTTTTTTCCTGGCATGCAGTGCAAAGCTCTGGGTAAAGAGGAGGTACTGCATTCACACTTGTCAACAAGATGGTCTTGGCAACCGACTTCTTGGGTCCCGACTACCGCCAGACCAATGAGCTATTTCCAAGCTGACCCCCAGTTGCGCTGAGCTTCTATTCTATTGCCTGAATGCCGACTGCTATGGATTTCAAATATGGGTCTGCACATAGAGTGCATGGCAAGAGTTGAGCCTTGCTTCTGCCATATCCATTGGGTGAATCATCAGCGTGATGTTTTGGTCTGGCCATGTGAAGTGCTATGTTCTGTCACATGGTTGTTGTGGAAGGATACAAATCAGGGGAGACAGGTAGTATGCTCAAGGCTTCCGAGGTTGTGTTTGCATGTCCAGTCTGTCCAGGGTAAAATCGCTCCAAGAATGTTTTACTGTCTTGACGCAAAAAAAACGTATGTACGCTGTATATGAACCATATTTGTGGCGCACCAGTGCATCAGTGCGGTGTGGGCCAGTGCGCAGTGCGCTGTGCGTTGGAATGAGAGTGCGCGCACTGTGCCCAGTGCAGTCCGCCGAGGGAGGTGCACCCTGTGCGTGGAAAAAAAAAAATTCCCCCACAGAGAGAGAGAGAGAGAGAGACCAAAGGGTCCCCATCACGCCAATTTGAGGGCCCCTACAGGTACCTCGAATGGCTCCTAGAATATATGTGGAGTCATTGAGGACCACTCCTTCAACGAGAAGGATGGGCACGCCATATGTGGAAGAGGTGGGAGCAGACCACCAATATGACGCGGGTCCTAGTTCAGGGCTGTAGCTGGGCAGTTATGGGTCACCAATTCAGCTAGACGCTGTTTGTGTCTCCACGTGATTCTGAGGGCCTCCCTCCACCACTCACCAAACGTATATAACATTAGTAATTTAGTAGAATGAATCGTCTGCTAAAACATGGAATCATACACCGCCATATGCTATGTCTTTTGTGCATGTGGTGAGTAGTGGAGCAGGCCTCACTGAGCGTATTCATAAGAAAACAAAAACAAAAAAAGCGAGAGAGCTACAGGCATCTTCATCGTTAGTTCCTAACCCATAACTGCCGACCTGCAGACCTGAATGCCAATCTGCAGCATATATTGGTTGTCGGCTGGCTGTGTAAAACACATGTTGTGACTTCTGTGAAGCTTTGCGGGGCAGGTCGCTATTGGGCAACTTCCCCCTTCTTGCAAAATTTTCCCACCACTGTGTGGGATTTGCAGAAGGGACGGGGAGGGACAGTTTCCACACCCTGCCTTTGAAAAAAAGTTGGAATGAGCCCTATTTTCATGATTCGCCAAGGGCCTGCGGAAATCGAAATTCTGCAGCCCTTGCCCCAAAATTTTTTTTGATCCGGGGGCGCAGCCGGTTTCTGAACTCGCGTGCTGAGTTTAACATTTTTGCCAAATTGGGGGCCCTAAGAAATTACAAAACCCCTAGGCTACCAGTTGTCTGATTGCAGGTTGTCCTGGCCGGACATCCTGTGTGGAGTTGTCTGGGATCCCGGACAACTCATTTTTCCGTGTTTGGGAGGGAAAAAAAATAAATAATATATTGGTCTGTGTTGCGCATCACCAGGGGACCCCCCCAAAAAAATTTGAGGTCATTCAGAGCAAAAAACAAAAAAAAATGAAAACAGTGCTGGGGCTGGGGGGAATCATCCTGGGAATGTGTGAAAGGCCCGGTGCTGCAGCTGCTGCATATGTGCACACACTGTACGCACACACACTATTTACAACCACACGACAAACACACTTACGCACACTATGTAGTATCTACCCATGCATGCGTGACACACACACAGACACACACACACACACACATGCACATGAAACGGTTTTCACCTTTGCAGTAGCAGATGCAGATATCAGGGCTCGATCCCTGGACCTCACTCACCTGTGTATAGTACCCCGTAGGTTTGTCGTAGGTGTATAGGAGTTAGGTCTCAAATTGTAGATCTGTCAGATAGGGGTCAAGAGTGTTGTAGAGGTCGTAGCTGTAGCCACTCTGAAAGATCAAGGTCGTAGCTGCTACAGTTCTGAGAGGTCAAGGTCGTAGCTGCTACAGAACCCGAAAGGCCAAGTGTGTAGACTTCCGGAAGCTCCGGAAGTGGCCTTTCGGTCTCCGGAGGTCAAGTCTGAGGCAAGTGGGCAAGTGGTGAGCCAAACTGCGTTATGTCGACAATGCGAGTGCATTGAGTTGGCAGTACAAACCCATCAGTCAATGGTACCAGTCCAGCAAGTACCATGAGGGACTGTGTACCATGGGCCGTTGGAAAGGGGCAGACCAGCGTTCAACAGAAGTATAAATCAAGAGGCAGCGCCCAGCCATTCATTCATTCTAGCGGAAGCGGTGCGGAAGTGCTGCTTGGGCGACTTGTGCGAGGTGGTCTGCATGCAAGGGACCCGACTGTCCACACCTTGCCAGAGTGTATCACAATGCATGCCACGTTACCAATCACACAGATTATGAACCATCACACAGCGCAGCTTATATTATCTCCAACACATTATAAGAGTATCTCGAGTTCAAGAGCCAACAGTGCGATATGTCTCTCCCTCTCATTCAACCGCAATGTGAGGCCTGGCTCAAGCGCCACCTCTCAACAACAAGTTAAATGCAGAACAGGTATGTCTCCACCATAGCCAACTTTGTATACCTGCCCCTTCTGTCTCACTCTCTCTCCCTCAAGATCTCTGTCTCAGTTCTCTTCTCTCATCATCCATATCTCTGAGCTTTGAGTGGGCGCCCAGGCGCCAGTCTATTTGCCATCTGTTGTATGCATGCAAGTTGCAGAATGAAATGAGTTTGATTGCACACACGCTCATGGACTCTATCTACACACACACACACACACACACACACACACACACACACACACACACACACACACACACACACACAGACAATACTTGTGCAGGGTGTCAGGGACACATAAACACACGCATGTTGCCCTCATCATCACCTATGACATGCATGCATGTATAGCAACAACAACCAGAATCAAAGATAGCATTGAAAGGTGCGCTGTGAACAACAAACACGAACAATAAAACAGAACGAAGCAGAACACGCGCACTACCACCGTAGCAAGTTCAGAGTGCTCAACACAATAACGAACTGCATGTCTCTGTATCTCTCTCTGTTTCACAATCTTTGTCTCCCACRCAGCATGGTATGAAGACGGCACAAGAATGAGCCACATGACACTGAAGATAACACATGTATCTTTCTCTGTCTCTCTACCACCCTCGCAGCCCACCGACGCAGACACACACACGAATTAAGCAAACTGCACCCCGAAAAAAGACAGGCACACGCCGATGGACACACAAAATGAACCACATCTTGCTACTCCGCGTCATCCTCAGTGTCATGAGAGCCATCCCCATCTCCACCAAAATCTCCACCCCTCAGACGAGCCTCCTCAGCATAGTCACTACCGGACATCTCATCCGAGGTGCTGCCATCATCATTGTGGTCAGGATCGTCATCGAGAACTCGAGAAGAGACTTTTCGTCTCTCCGTCACCTGCCTGAGACCTTGTGCACACACCGCTGACAATGCCACGTCCAGCAGGCAACCGCTCGGAAACATCGGGAGTCTCTGTATCCACATCTGCTAATGCACTCAGCGCCCATGACTGCCGACGCTGTGCATGGCCTTTGCCTGACCCACGTGGGCGGCCTCGAGGGCGACCAGTACTGACTTTCGGTCGTCTGGCAGCTGGCTCACCACCTGCCTCATCCCCCCTCAATTTCCTCTTCCTGCCGGCACGACTCATCTTTGTATTGTCAATGATAACAGACGGTTGTCGTGCAGGAAGCGAGGGCATGCCCAGTGGACTGATCGCACGATTGCCAGTCGCGGGAGTGTTAAACGTCCCACGACACCTGACCAAACTGGAGCCTTGACTCAGCCTAGATGGCCCGGGTGACTGCACAGAACAAGGAGGAGGTTGGTGGGGCATGCGTGCTAGTTTTCCCGACGATGGTGAACAACTCGTCAAGATGGAGCTGTGTATCCCACCCTGCCTTTCATGACTGGACACGGTGTCCAATGCGCCCCTGCCTCCACTAGAGGCTATCTCCCCTTCTCGCTGGCGCTGTGGTGGCTCCCCGACATGTGCGCCAACATCAAGCCGTATAGAGGATTGTGCACCACGAGGGGGCAACGGGGGAATCCCATAAAAGAGCCTCGACTCAATGTGGTCTCTGGTGTAATGCTCTCTTGCGGGTTAACCCTGCCCCTCTCCTTAGTCCTCTCCTCCGCCATCACACCACCCACATCATGCAGCACGCTCTCACCCACCCTTTCAACCACCCTGTCGTGGCCCAATCGTTGATCCACACAGACATCCACCCTGACGTGGAGCCTCTGCTCAGCCCTCTGCTCCAGTCTACAATCTCTAGACATGTGTGCCCTTTGCTCTGTCCTCTGCTCCACCGATGCCTCCACCCTGTCTCCCAGTCTCTGCTCGGCCCTCTGCTCCACCGTTGGTGTAACGGCATCCCCGACCCTCGGCTCCACGCTCCGACCCGCTTTGTGGTATGCACCGTCCCCGACCGTCTGCTGAACACTCTGCTCCAACGTTGACTGTGCACCCTCCTCTCGCCTTTCTTGAACTGTGTCATCGACGGCGCAGTCCACCCTTTGATGCACTGTTTGCACCACAGTTTGTGTCGCCCTCGGATGATCAGCGACCTGCTTTGCCACCTGCTCCACCGTGTTGGTGTCCTCCGTCCTCTGTTGCGGCCTGTCGACCACACTCTGGTCGATCGTCTGGTGCACCCTTTGCTCTGTCCTCTGCTCCGCCCTCTGCTCCGACCCATGCTGAACACCTGCACTTTGAGATCCCTCGCTTCGACGCTCATGGTCAATGGCACTGCCGGACGCTGTCCCTGCACAGGCATGCGCCTCTACGATTGTGGTCTTGCCAATCACCGTTGCCCCTTGATGAGATGACTCGGCACGATCATAGGTTTGAGAAGCGGAGCCTTGTGTGGACCCTGTCGCCCTTGCCTCTCGTAGTGGTATCGATCCATGAACGCCGTCATAGGAGCGATCTATGTCCTGCTCAGCATCCTCACTGGCCAACAACCCCTCAACATCGGTCTGACCTCCCACCCTCTCCCGTAGGGTCCTCAGTGTGCGGAAAGTGCCGGCCACGTATGCGTCGAAGTCCTCATGAGGGTCTAGCCCCGCCCAGTCATCGAGGACATCATGCTGGTCCTCGGCAAGGGTCTTCCCTTTGTCCCTCTCTTGCTGCATGTGCTCCGCCATCTCACGATGCATCCACACGGCATCCGCCCAAGGGCCAGGCTCATAATGATCGTCGACATAGCGAGATGCAGATGTGATGCGATCACGACCGTCGTTATGACGGTTTGCTCGAGCGGCTGCCTCCCACTCCTCCTCGTCCGATCGACAGGCAAGACACTCCATCGTCCACGTCCTCGGGGGATCCTCAACCATGTCGGCCCACATGTCGATGTAGCGACTCTCAGGCCTTCTGCTAGCGCTGAGAAGCTGCATGTTCCAATGAATGAACACGAGCTTCTCCACACTCGCGGCGGAGAGGTTGTTGCGCCTCTTTGTGTGAATGAAATCATGAGTGGCCCAATTGCGTTCACAAGGACTCGCTGTGGACCACATGCCGAGCACCTTCTTTGCTATTGCCTGCAACCTCGGGTGACCGCCTCCTTGAAGCTGCCACCACAATGCTGGGTGCATCGTCTTGCTGGCAGCGTTTCGAACAGCAACCTCGTCCCACCAATGAGGACCGTCCACCGGCCAATACCGAGGATCATCACTATGGAAGGTCCATAAATCCTCCCACAAGTCTCCCAGCGCCTTTGACTCCCAACCTCCACCCAACATACGAGAGAAATGATCAAGTGTACTTTGCACGGCGGGTGAGCTGCGATCAGACAACAAAGAGATGTCACGTTGACGAGGATCCAACAAGTAAGCTGCTGCGTGTGCCGCCTGCCGCATCATCGCACATCTGTCTGCCACTATGTCGAAGACCACCTTCCTCTCATCCTCCCGCAGGCCCAATACATCAATTCTCCTCCGCAACATGGACTCCAAATCCCACAACCCTGGGGGTGATGAACCGTCGAAGTCCATGGCCCTCAAGAAGGTGTAGCAGGGCTCCATCACGTCCATCACTTTCTTGACCTGCTGCCACCACCAGTCTGATCTGCAAAGTCTGCGTACCTCCGGCTCGTCCACTCGCACGTCTCCTGCCCATCGTGCATCTCTCCACCGATCAGAGGACACGACCCCATCAAGCACCATCCTCTGCTCATATAGCCTCTCCTGCATCATATATGCAGTTCCGAACCGTGTGTCAGCCGGGCGTGTCAGGTCCAAGGCCCCTTTCGCGGTTCGATGAATATGGAGCGCCTTTTGCTTGTTCCGCATGAACTTGATGATCTTATCCGCTCTCTTCATCACTTCAGCGGCCCATGGCTGTGCCGCAATGTCTCTAAGCAGCAAGCTCAAGCAATGCGCCGCGCAAGGGATCCGTGCAATGGCAGGGTCTGGGTGGTCCTGTAGAGTACTCGCTGCCGCCTTCATAACCTCTTCGTTGTCTGTGCAGATGGCGTTCACACTCTCCACCCCTACGTCATCTCGTATCACCCCCTCCCATATCTCGGCTAAACTCACGCCTGTCTTGTCTCGAGCTGACATATCGATGGTGCGAATAAGGATTGGCCCTGACTGGCCTGCTGCGATGAAGTTCATTATCGGCTTGTTGCGCTGGTCAGTGGCACCATCAGTCGTCAAGGTGCAACCGGTGTCCTTCCACTTTGCCTTCTTGGGGGCGATGAGTGCTGCAACCTCGTGGTATATAATATCCATCATCCTCGTCCTCACTCCCTCGTACGAGAGCAGGCGTGTCGCTGGTACGATGGATGGCCACAGGAGTGTGACAATGTAGTCCCAATAGTTTTGCGTCTCCTTCAGCCGTAGCTAGTTGAACGGCACGCCACCGCGGTACATTGCAAGTGCCAACAAACGATCGAGATCATTTTGCACCTTGTTTCCCAAAAACGGATCCAAGGTCGCCTGTCTTCCTCGAAGTGCGACCTGCGTGGAGGCAGTCGATGTAGTAGGAGTCCCTCTCGCCGCCCTCTCGTCACCTCCATCCCCCATACCGACGAGTGCTCGCAAACGCTCACGAACATCATCCGCGGCGTCTCTGGCAAGACAGTCTTGTTGGCCACCATCTCAAGATTCGATTCGATCAATGAATCGAATCGATTCCTTGATTGAATCGAATCTTGATGAAGATTCGATTCAATCAATGAATCCAATCGATTCGTTGATTGATTGATTGATTGGATCCGGATAGGTAGGAGGAGGAGGCGGAAGTGGACAGAAAGGAGGAGGAGGAGAAAGAGACGGAGGGAAAGGAGGAAGAGGAGGATGAGGAAAAGGAGGGAAAGGAGGAGGAGGAGGAGAGCGACGAGAGAGACATGGTCGAGGAGGAGGAGGAGGAGGAGGCGGAGTAGGACGACAACGACGAAGAAGGCGAGGAGGAGGAGGAGGAGGAGGGTTGGGCGACGACGGGCGAAGTCAGGATCCGGGTAGGTAGGAGGAGAAATGGGAGGAGGAGGGTTGGGCGACGACGTCGACGAGGGTGGCAACAAAGAAGAAGTAGAAGAAGAGGAGGAGGAGGAGGAGAAAGAGGAGGAAGGGAGCGCGGCGACGGGGGAAGTCGGGATTCGGGTAGGTAGGAGGAGGAGTTGGCAACCGTTGACGAGCTGCCAACTCAATCAATCAATCAATCAACGAATCGATTGGATTCGTTGATTGAATCCAATCTTGATGAAGATTCGATTCAATCAACGAATCCAATCGATTCGTTGATTGATTGATTGATTGATTGATTGATTGATTTTCGACGGAATGTGACCGCAGTTACGACCAAATTCAGCAGAAAAAAGTCGTCGTAGGCTGAGTATGCTCTCTGTCCAACGATCCGCTTACTACATTTTCTTCACTGCTCCAGGGTTTCTCTCATGAGATGAGCAGGCAGTACACCTACACCCTGCGCTTGTGGCGCGTTATGTCTGCGCCGGTGGTCGATGCGCGCTCACGATGGGCCCAATGGCACGCAATAGCACGGAGCTCATGCCCTCATGCGATCATCGGCCTACGCAATCATGCGCGCGTTCACTAGCGCCGAGTCTGCGATATCTGTGCCCATTATGCGCTCCATTACAATGGAACGCGTCTTCGCTGACGCGGCTATGCGCGCATATAGCGGTACAACTGGCGACGTGGCCACAAGGAGGAGGTAGAGGTCTAGGAGGAGGAAGAAGATGAGGAGGAGCAGGAGGAGGGGGAGCCGGAGGACGAGGAGTACAGAGAAGAGGAGGAGGAGGACGACGACGACGACCAAGAATAAGAAGACGAGGAGGAGGAGGAGGAGGAGGAGGACGAGGAGGAGGAGGAGGAGGAGGAGGAGGAGGAGGAGGACGGCGGCGATGGACGACGGCTACGAGGAGGAGGTGGAGGTCTGCGAGGAGGAGGAAGATGAGGAGGAGGAGGAGAAGGACGACAAGAATTAGAAGACGAGGAGGAGGAAGAAGAAGAAGAGGAGGACAACGACGACGACGAAGAAGAAGAAGAGGAGGAGGAGGAGGAGGAGGAGGAGGAGGACGGCGGTGATGGACGACGACTACGAGGAGGAGGTGGTCTAGGAGGAGGAAGAAGATGAGGACGAGGGGGGGGAGGAGGAGGAGGAGGAGGAGGAGCCGGAGGACGAGGAGGAGGAGGACGACGACGACCAAGAATAAGAAGACGAGGAGGAGGAGGAGGAGGAGGAAGAAGAAGAAGAGGAGGACAAGGACGACGAGGAGGAGGACGGCGACGAAGAAGAAGAAGAGGATGAGGAGGAGGAGGACGAGGAGGAGGAGGAGGACTACGGGTGCGATGGACAACGCCGACGAGGAGGAGGTGGAGGATTAGGAGGAGGAAGAAGATGAGGAGGAGGAGGGGGAGGGGGAGGAGGAGGAAATGGACGGAAAGGAGGAGGAGGAGGAGGAGAAAGAGATGTAGGGAAAGGAGGAAGAGGAGGATGAGGAAGAGGAGGGAAAGGAGGAGGAGGAGGAGAGAGATGAGCGAGACATGGAGGAGGAGGAGGGTACGCACCTGCACGAGGGTTGGAGGAGACATCGGGTCGTGGCCATCGATGGCGACGCAACAACGTTCAACTCTGACGACGTGCCCAAGTCGCGCGCCGTCCAGTCGCAGTACACAGCCAAATTCGAATGCGAATTTGGCCCGATCTGGGCCGTAGATGTCTTAGATCTAACGGCCCAGAGGAGGCCATTTTCGTTTTCGATTTCGGAGGCCCTACCGGCCTCACGAAAATGGCGCGTTCCTCCTGGGGGTATATCATACCCGAAATCCCACCCCCGGAGGCCCAAAAGCCTTTACCCCCCCCTACATGGATTTTTCCACCAGCCCGGAAAGGTGGCCCAGCTTGGATAACCGGGGGAGTTGTCCGATCAGACAACCCGGACCCAAAAAGGGTCCCGGACGTCCGGGCTGGTAACATAGCAAAACCCCTACTTTTTCTCTTTTTTTTTGGGACCTAATTTTTCCAGTGCGGTGCGCTTTGGTGCGCTGTGCAGTGCGGTGCACGTGATGCGCAACACGCGTGCAAATCGGCGCACCAAGGTGCACCGCAACTATGATACGAAGACAACTTACCCCGTACGTTGTATTCGAATACAACGTATGTACGTTATTCAGCGAGTTATAGGGTACAACTTTGCACGAGCCTTTACTACCGACGTTTTGTGCTTTTTGTATTGCAATTTTGTATTACATCGTTTTTCCTTCAATTTGTTTGGATTATTTTTGAAAAATTGGCATTCTTAAGATATCAGAAAATACCAAAATGCCCTAAAAAGCTAGGCTTTTTTTCGGGCGTCGGGCACCCAACATATGCCCGGGGACTCACCCGGGTGCCCGGCTGGGCATGAGCCCCGGGCAGTGTTCCGGGCACCCCAAGCGCAAAACAAAAAAGAAAAAACCAATCCAAAAATTTTGCGGAAAAAAAAAGGTTCTGTAAAACTGAAATACAAACAACTTTTCACATTAGAATTCCTCACAGAATCAGGGATAAAAACGAAAATAACAGAATCACGCAAAGCCACCCCCCTTCGAACCCCTTTCGCCCTTGCAAAGCGAATTTATACCCCCTTTCCCCCACCTTGACAGCCAACTCGCAAAAAAAGAAATGAGCCTGGATTCGGGGATCCTCTGGGAGAGAGCAGAAAACTGCGAGGGTTTATGCCTCGGCATAGGGCCCTGTAGCAGGCGCGTGCGCGCCCTAAGTGAAGGTGGGCCCCTTGAATCTCTGTGCGCCCTGAACTCGTCAATTTTTGCAAATCTTGGTCGGCGTCAGACGGTTGCCACTCGCCAGTTGGTTACAATCCGCCTTGCTTGTGAGAATCCAAAATATTCGTGAGGCTCTTCCAGCAGCGTGGTCAAAGCAGGAAGCATCGCACGTTTGTGCTGGGTGGTTGGGCATGCCTAACGAATTCGGTCCCAGGCCTGTCTGAATCGGGACTGGGCGCAGACACTTCGCCCGAGACTGACGCTACTGGGAACTCGGTCTCACGTGCGGGTAGCAAAGGCAAGCGCCCACCTCTATCTAGATAGGAAAGGGCAGGGCGCAGGGCGAGGTATTCGGGCACTTGCACTTGTGGGCGGCAGCGCTGCTGGAGCTTAGACTCTCGGGCTGCTTGCTGCGCTAGCGCGAGGTGCGGGCGCGCGCGGGCGTCGAGAGGATACAGGGCGCTGCTGAGGGCAGCGCCATAGCCCAGCCTTCATAGCCAAGCTGGGGCTTTGACACAGTCAGCGGGTGGTGGTGGTCTTCATGTATGGGAAGGAAGACGTGGCTTGGCGAGGGTGGGAGAGAGAGAGATAGAGAGATAGAGAGAGAGAGAGAGAGAGGTTGATGATGTGAGGGCATGTACCTGGCTTGGCGATGGTCTACAAGGTCGACATTTTCATGCACTGTGGTTGTTGCTGCTGATGTCAACGGGATGCATTGTTAATTCGTAGGCTGCTAGTAGCTGTGTAGAAGTAGTCTGGGCGTTGAGCGCCAAGTAGGAGGTGGATACATATGTTGGTGGTGGCGAGATTATGCCCCATTGACATTCGGATTTGGTGCTTTGGTTCTCCATTGGTGGAATATCAGCGCGTTTCTGATTTCTGGACAGTATTGGACTGTCTGGCATTTAATGTGAAATTCTGTCATTTCGCTTTATCTCATTTTCCTTGCAATTTGGTATTGGAGCTGGTTCGAGCCGCTGCGCTGCCTCCTTCGCAATAGCTAATTGGTGCTTCACTGGATGGTGGGCCAGTAATAACGCTTGTGCGTTGGGTAGTGACGGCGGCCCAGTGTCGTGTGGGGAGCCAGGAAGGCTATGTGGTGACAGAGGGGTGCACGTTGGATGATGAGAGCTTGCCGACGCTGAAATTTAACCCGAGGTGGAACATTGCATTGTGGGTTGTGCTGAGGCGTCGAGCGGTCATCATAAATGCACGTCAGGTTACTGGTGAGAAATCTGTGGTGTGGAGGCAGCATTATGAGGTACGTTGCTCCTTACCTTATCTACCCTCTTCGTTACTTCTTAGCGTGAGGAAGCGAGATCTGTCTTGAGAGACCTCTCATTGTGAGGTGTCACGAGCGCTCAACCTTGAGAGGCGACATTCTCCTTGGGGAGCAAGCTGGTGGGAGACGGGTGTTGCCTTTGAAGGGCCTGGACGAAGCACACGGGTCACAGTCACCATGCCAACCCGCCGGGACTAGTGCACGCATGCTTTGCCGCTTGTCCTTCGTTCCGCTTGCTGCGCTATGGAGGGAACGTGGACTGACCAGTCCTATGCGAGACGTCTACCAGACAGTATAAATTATT